ATAAGCACCGGTCTCAAGATGCATAAAGTGGAGACGGTAGTTGACAGCTTCATGCTGGTATCTTTCTGGCATGTCCTTGATGGTACTACATGCAGCCCACTGATTAGACACTATAGTTGTTCCTGGAACAACATACTGCCTGATCAGTGGCAGAAGGATAGCAGCACCTCGTCAAGCATGCAACATGTAGCTTTCTCCAATGTTAGAATCACTGTTACGGAATGAAAACCAGAAGCTGTAGCATGAAAAGTGGAAGCAATGCAGCATCGCTACATCGCAAGGTTGGCGGATCCGAAGTCGGTTCTGAACTTTTCTTCAGTCATGATTGCATTTTTTGGAATTCTCGCGTTATCATTCCTTCCGCTTTACGTGGACGCATTCTCAATACATTACATTCTTCCCACCCCGGCATTCAAAAGATGAAGTCTGAAGGTAGATAATGTTACTTTTGGCCCAAACTAAATAACGATATAGCGCACTGCGTGCGAAATTGCTCTTCATGCGCTGATACTGCTAAAATGCTGATTAAAACATTGTTGCTACCATGGCCTCATACCAGCCAACCGTGGATTCAACTGCATGCTGATTTTGCTGGCCCTATAAAAGGTAAACACTATTTGGTTCTTGTTGACTCGTACTCTAAGTGGCCGGAAGTATCTCAAATGAACTCCTTGAATGAGCCAGCGACCATCAACGTTCTTAGCGACATATTTTCGCATTTCGGTTTTCCTGAGTCCCTTGTCACCGATAATGGTCCTTCATTTCAATCAGATGAGTTTCAACGGTTTTGCATGCAACATGGTATCCGACACATTTTTGCTCTGTCATATCATCCGCAGAGTAATGGATTGGCCGAACAATTTGTCGATACTTTCAAACGGACACTTTCCAAAATCAATAAAGGCTCGGAAGATAAAAACATTCGTAATTTTCTTATTCATTACCGCAACACCGTCCACCCATCTACCAATAATTCTCCAGTTATGTTATTACGAGGACGAAAACTTTGTTCTTCATTAGATTCACTGCTTCCATCGGCGCCATCTTCGGAAACAACAGCTGACTTGTCTTTTTATTTCAATCGCTCAAACAGAGCCAGACCCCGAGCTTTCCAAGTCCAAGACGCTGTATATGCTCGTCTATATAATACGTCCCAGAAATACACGCCCGCCGTCATCACTTGTAAAGGAGGGGAAGTTTTGTATGAGCTAGTTACCAATTCTGGAGAACAAATCGTAAAGCACTCTAATCAAATCCGAGCTCGGGACCAAGAAAGCAAAACGCTCTAAGAAAGTCAAACCAGGAATAAGGAGGCGAGTGAACACAAGGAACTGTCATCGAAATCCAATAGGAGTGGCCGATCAAGTGCGCGAGCGTACTGCTTTACTTCACCAGCTCCACCAGCTCCACCAGCTCCACCAGCTCCACCAACTCAGATCCGTCATCCAATGAGAAAGAAGAATTCAAGACTATTATTGAACGTAGATCCGCGTCAGCATGTTTATTGTTCTTTCGAACCTATTGTATAACATTGTTTTCTAAATATTTCAATAATAGTAATAATAATAATTTATAATAATTTATCAATATTATTAAAGTAAAGTACAACTTTGGTAGCGAATTTTCAACGTATAAAGCATACCAAATATTTGTAGCTGCCAGCTTTAACCTTCAGAAGCGGCTCCGGACGATTTCGCTACTGTGAAATAAACGCATTTACCGTAAAAACAGCAGGTTTTTTTTAGTCTCAAGTTTCTTTCTGACTCATAACTTTCGATACCAAAAAACCACCATTACCGAAGTGTGATATGTTGTAAAGCAAAAAATGCTACACAAAACACGTTTTCTTAAAAAATTTGAAGACACGTTTTTTTCTATGTTTTTTTGAAATATTGCTTTTACTATATCTATACAACTTTTTATCAGAATACTCGTGTATAATTTTAACAGAATAAAGTACAATGTACCCTATCCTATTGAAATTAAAAAGTTCAATATGCACTTAGAAATTCAGAAAATGAGAAATCCAACAAACGAAAAACTCTTAAATTATATTTTAACTTGGCGGGGAATTCAGTTTTCCACGTTTCTTTTACGGCTTTCTTCATGTTAGCCTAGACTATACTGATTAGCAAAAAATGAAAAAAATCCAAGAGGTTGATGTTCAAAGGTGTCCGATTTCGCATGGAATAGCCCATATATATATATATA